GGCAGTGGTGACTCTGAGGAAACTGAGGCACAGAGGTCCGGGGTCTTGCTCTCAATCACACCAGCTTGAAAGGGGCAGAATCAATCCCTGAGACTTCTCTGACCACAGATCTAGATTTCTTTCCACGAGATTCCAGAGCAGAGAAGGGTGGGCATCATTAGAACTGACCCATTTTACACCAGATCTGAAGTTTCAGTGATGGTACAAGATGTGGATTCCAGAGGCATCATCCCAGTGGGAACCAGAGGAAGTGCTCAGAAACCTCAGGGTCTCCCTCCCTTTCCCAAACCTGCTCCTGACCCCTCTAACTGCATAAAGGACCTCACCAAGCCCACGATACCAGGCGCTGGCATGAGCAGCTCAGGAGGGTGTCCAGGGAGTTGGCCCTCCCTGGTGGGAAGAGGTCTGTGTTGCCTCCCCGGTGAGACTCCTGTGCCGCTCTCTGCCCTTTAGGACGTGGACTGCGCCTACCTGCGCAAATCAGACCTGGAGGCCAACGCGGAGGCCCTGACCCAGGAGATCGACTTCCTGCGGCGACTGTATGAGGAGGTGAGCGGGACACAGAGCAGTGGAGCAGCAAGGAGGATATGAGCTAGACATTGGAAAGCACTTGCTGCCATTTGGCTTTTGATTCCCTGGGCGGGAGGGCGGGGGGCAGTGCAGAGCAGAGTTGAGATACCTGAGGCCGGTTTACTGTCACAAGGTGAAGAAGTGTAGCTTGATGTCTCATCTGCCATACCTCAGGCAAGCTGGTGTTCCTGATTACTGCAGTGACAGTTATCACAAATTGGTACATTCTGGTCCTAGACTTCAAGGATCCAGACAGGAGGCCCTGAAGTCCGGCAGTGCGCCTCAAACATGGGCTCCTCTCAGCTGTGGGACTCCGGGTCTGAGGTGCTTTGAGAGGTCCCAGCTGAGGGGGAGACTGCACCTTGGAGGTTGGGGCTTCAGCCACTGAGTCTGTGGAAGCAGAGAAAGGGGACAGGGAAGGACCATGAGAGGGATTGTGGGCTTCTGAGAGCAGGGTTCTGATCAAAGAAGCTCTGACCACTCCCCTGCCCCCACAGGAGATCCGTGTCCTCCACGCCCACATCTCAGACACCTCGGTCGTCGTCAAGATGGACAACAGCCGAGACCTAAACATGGACTGTGTCGTGGCCGAGATCAAGGCTCAGTATGACGACATCGCCAGCCGCAGCCGGGCTGAGGCTGAGTCCTGGTACCGCAGCAAGGTGAGTGCCCTGCACCCCAGCAGGAGGGATGCTAAAAGGACAAAGGAAAGGCAGGCAGCTGAGGGGCTCATATCCTCTGTCTCATGAGTGTCTCTGCTTCCCCCAGTGTGAGGAGATGAAGGCCACAGTGATCCGTCACGGGGAGACCCTGCGCCGCACCAAGGAGGAGATCAACGAGCTGAACCGCATGATCCAGAGGTTGACCGCTGAGGTTGAGAATGCCAAGTGCCAGGTACAGGAGGCTGGCCCTCCTCTCAGTGTAGAAAGAGAAGGGGGTAAGCCTGCAGCAGGGAGACTCAAGGTTGACACCTTGCCAAAGAGTGGAAAACGAGCAAACATCAAACATTAGATGAGTCTCTTCCATGGAAAACACTCTCCATTCCCACTGAATAGGGATGAGAGAGAGGTTGGGGGCAGAGAAATATAGAAGGGAAAGGAATGACCGGGATTTTCCTGGTCTTGGGAACATAAAGGGTCAGAGGAAATAGCCCTGGTCTGAGGGCAGGAAACTGGGGTTCTCAAACCAGCCCTGCCACTGGCTTACCACATGATTCGGGGTGAGCCATTTCACCTCTCTGGCCCTTGTTCTAGATCAGCGATGTCCCAGAGGTGAGTGGATGAGTGAACCAGGTTGTCCTTAAGGCACTAGAGTGTATAAGCTAGAAAGCACAAAGGGCAGAGCTAATTAGATCCACTGAAGGCAGACCTCAAGGAAATGTAGGTCCAGTGGGCCCAGATCCTTAGATATTTTTCAAAAGAAGCCAGGAATTTGGATTTTTGTGTTAAATTTCAAAAACTGAAAACACTGTGCCAACATTCCCAGGAGTACTAATTTGCAACCCCTGATCTCACAAATGGGTGAGGCCCCTTCTTCCTCTGACAATCAATGGTCATTGGATGTCTGGCCTCTGACCCCAAATCCAGAACAGGAGCCTTAATAACCCTCCCCTGCCTCCCAGAACACCAAGCTGGAGGCCGCAGTGACCCAGGCGGAGCAGCAGGGTGAGACGGCCGTCAGCGATGCCCGCTGCAAGCTGGCTGAGCTGGAGGCTGCCCTGCAGAAGGCCAAGCAGGACATGGCCTGCCTGCTCAAGGAGTACCAGGAGGTGATGAACTCCAAGCTGGGCCTGGACATCGAGATCGCCACCTACAGGCGCCTGCTGGAGGGCGAGGAGCACAGGTGAGAACCACACCTGTGGGAAATGTCTCTTCAATCTCCCCTAACTGTGCTTAGAGCCAGGAACATGTTTGCATGTTATTTTCATCTAATTTTCATCAGGATTACTTGGAGGAGGGAATTTGCCAGCTTTGCTCTCCCCCAGTTAATTTTTGTCTCTTTGCTCTCCCCACAAGGTTATGTGAAGGCATTGGTGCTGTTAATGTCTGTAAGTAATCTATACTGTGGGTACTGAGATAAGGGCTTGGGGTTCCTGTAGGGCAAACTTTGTCTTAAAGGGCCACATAATAAATATTTTAGACTGTGGGCCATGCACTCTCTAGCTCAACTACTCAAATCTGTCGTTGTAATGTGAAAGTAGCCACAGCCATAAGCAATACTTAACAAATAGGTCTGGCTGGGTTTCAATAAAACTTTATTTACAAATATACAATCACAGTTTGAAGACTCTGGAAGGAAGGAGGGGAGTGTGGTCGTGAATTACTGCAAAAACTTTAATAGCCTTTTCTGCCTAGAGGGAGGATCTGGGCTGACAGTTTGTCAAGGGTCCATCCTTGGGGTCAGGCTGCAGGAAGGAGATCCTGGGTGAAGCCAGGAATAAGAATAAAGGGGAGGAGCTCTGAACAAGAGAAATGGGTTCTGGACAGCAAGCAGGAGCTCTGCCATCTGGCACAGGGACCAAGCCCTGTTCTCTACCCGCAGGTGTCAGCAGCTCCCGCGGCGGCGTTGTCTGTGGGGACCTCTGCGTGTCGGGCTCCCGGCCCGTGACCGGCAGCGTCTGCAGCGCCCCCTGCAGCGGGAACCTCGCTGTGAGCACCGGAATGTGCGCGCCCTGCGCGCCCTGCGGACAGAGCTGTGGCAGCGGCCGCCTGGTGCGGTTTGCCTAGTGCCTCCCGCTTTGTACACGCACCGCCCCGGGAGCCAACCGGCCCCATCCAGCAGCCGACCCGGTGGCCCGAAAGTGCCTGGGCTTGAGACGAAAGGGCTTCGGGAAGCAGCGGGCCTGCCCTGCCCACACTGCTGCCCCAGTTCCTCTCATCATCATCCCCCCACCCATCCCTGCTGCTTGTCTCTTCTTTTCTTCCAGGGACGTGGGGCTTTCGGTGTCTTGGCAGCTACCCCCTGGCTGGTTTTCTTGAAACCCTGGCAAGGGTCCAATCCTGACTGGGCTGCTCTGGGGACTTGGACGGTTGTGGCTTCTAAAGGACGGGTTGGCCCTCTGTCCCCCCGGGTGTGGAAGTGCTGCTGGTGCCTCCCCTGCGCTCTAAACCCGTGCACGATGACTAGGTTGTGTCTCCCGGGGGACATCTTTCTTCCGGCTGCCTGGGCTCTCCCTCTTTCCCTCATGCTTGATCTCCACGTTCCCAATAAAGCTCAGGGGTCACACACGCGTGCTCCAGACTCCCTGTGCACATTTGTGCTTACCCATGTGGACTCCGCCCCGTTTCACCTCAGGTGGAGGCAACAGGGGAGCTGTTTGCTCCCAGCCTGTGAGGCAGAGAAGGCTGCCTCTGAGGCTCCCTTCCCATGGTGCCCCATTCCGCATCATGAGGGTGCAGGGGCATGGGCTGGCAGCCCCAGACACACAGGAGCTGGCTGGGAAGTGAAAGGGGCAACAGGGAAGAGCCTTAGCAAGGGGGGGGGGGGCTGACTCTCCTGACACCTTGAATGGGGACCTCATCACTTGGGCTACTGTCCACTTCCTCCACTCTCCCACTCCACCCCCACCTCAACATGGTAAAATTCCTGACCATGGGATCAATATACAGACCCCTCCAAACCAACACTCCCCGGATAGACCCCCACCCCACAGGCATACCACCACCATTCCTGGAGGGTCTCAGACACGAGAGCTCCCACCTCCTTCTCAGTACCCATCATATGTGCTGCTGTCCACCCTGGATGGATACCCCCAAACATAGACCACAAAACACCACCCCCCCCACTCACAGTCACTCAGACCCCAAGTCAGAGACCTGACACATAGATGCCCATCAAGCACAGACAGCACAGATGCACCCTCCGGGATCCAGTTACACAGACCACCCCTCAGCCCACTGACCTAGGCACAGAGCCACTACCAGGGACCCAGACTCTGGTGGCCCCCTCACCCTACCCGCCTCCCAAACACACTCAGACCTCCTTCCAATGCCACCACCCCCACAGAATCCCAGGCCCAGAGTCTCAAACACACACGCACACATGCGCACAGTGGTTCTGAGAATTGGCTGGTGCACCCACAAACAGGGGCCTGAGGAATGTACTCTGGCAGCAAGGGGTGGGGGAGGGGCAAACAGCCCCACCCCCTGAGTGGGAGGGGCCTCCCTTGCCCACTTCCTGGCAGAGCTAGCACTTCCCTGGGGTGTTTTGGGGCTTCTTCAAGAGAAGAGTTGGAACTGGCCCCAGCCCTGGGAGGGGCCAAGTCCTCGCACTCCGCACTCCCTAAGAGCCCAGCTCCTCAGAGCAGCGTGACCCCAGTCTCCTACACAAGAGGCTTCCAGATATCAAGCAGACCCTGCCCTCTCGAGGGCTCCTCCCTCTCCACCCCTTCTCTGCCCAGACAAACGAAGCCAGGATACCAGGTGCTGGCCATGGGCTCACCCAGGCCTCAGAAAGAGACTTTATTGAAAGCTATTCTGACATCATTTTTCAGCCTGCTTTGCAGTCTAGAGACCAGGGATGGGACCCAGATGGGAATGTCTTATGACTGTGGGGGGAAGAGATACGGGTCTCCCCACAGCCGTGGCTCAGTTGAGGATACTCTTGTGAGCAGCAGAAGTGGTCCTCATGGAACAGGCCTTGTGGGCTCCGCTTGAGAATCTCAGGGCATTGCTGCCCATGGTTCCCCCAAAGGCCAGCCCGCTGCCACCACCGACGTTATTCACCACAGCTGGGAGAGAAGAGAGGACTCAATCAGCATGGGCCCGCCACAGAGGCGCCATCCCTTCACTCCAACCCCCCCTGCCATGGCTGCCCTTCCCCCTCCCCCATCACCTCCCTTCCCCCAATGGGTCAGCCCAGAAGGAGCCTTGGACAGTGTACCCGTTGGGGGGGTGCCCCCCGCCTAACCCTGCCCTCTCACGAGGCTTCCCTGGACTGTTGAGTCTGGCTGACTGGGAGCTCCAGGTCCCCACAAGGCCTAACCCTCAGGCCAAACTATGCCATCCTGTAGACCCCACTCAGTCTGGAGAGCACAGGGGTGGCCCAAGCCAAGGACTTACAGATATTCACGGCTCCCACTCCATTTCCGTTCAACCTAGGGGCAGAGGAGAGACCGGTGAGAGCAGCCCCTTCCGCAGCACGGGGGAGACACTCCCGGCCCCTCCGTCCAGGCCCCAAGCAGGATTGGTCTTCTTTCCTCTGCCCCACAATTCCAGCCTTCCTTCAGCCTTGCTGCAAAATGAGCAAGGAGGAGTGGGGGGCAGGGTTCACTGCACAGGGTGCTCACCTGCCTACTGGCTACATGACCTTGGGAATGTCTTCCGCCTCCATTTCCTCACCTACAAATGGGGCCTAACTCAGAATCAACCTCACAGGGTTGTTTGAGGGTTAAATAACATAATTTACCTAACGCTCTAGGCACACAGGATTCAGTAAATGGTAGCCTCTCTTATTATTACCTAGGCAGCTGCCTCCCCTAACCAGATCATGAAATCCTCAAAGTGGTCTGTCGCTTGCTGAGGACTGTACGTGCGGCCCCTGCACGAGGTTGGGCGTGCAGTGATCACTCTGTGCTGAAATAATTAGTGTATTGTTGACTGAGTGAGTGCCGCTCCAGCAGGGACTGAGAAGGGAATGAGGAGGTAGGTAGGGTGGCTTTAAGCACTGGAAATTAAAAACCCACCCAAGACAGCTGGGTGTGTTTGCTTTGTAACACACAGCCTGTTGTCACCAAGCCCTTGGCCTTAGGGATGAGTGTACTCTGCGGCAAGGAGGGGACACATGTATGGAGGGAGTGAGGGGGCCACCTGGCCTCAGCAGCCTCAAGTACAGGGGGCAAGCCAAGGGCAAGAAATGGTATGCTAGGAAGCTTCCAGGCCCCCTCTTAAAATGCCCCTACAAGTGCTGGGCGTTACTGGCAGTTGGGGGGTGGGGGTAGAGGGATGGGGAGCCAGGTTGCAATCAGGCAACAATTTCATATAAGAATTCAACTCCTAAAGAACTCAAAAGGAGGGAACCTGAATGTCCCGGGCTCTAGTGTGATCTGTGTGAGTTTTCTTTTCTGATCTTAAATAAATATTAGTTTTGTGCCTAATTTTATACTTGTAACTTTGTATTCTTAACAAAAAGGTTCCCCAAATTGGATGAGTTTTCTAAATCCTAGACCTGCCCCTGGGAAGCGCTGAGGGATTAAGGGACAAAAACAAGATGTGCATCTCCATGTCCCCTAAGGGGTGGAGAGAGGACAGTCCCCCCTCAGAGAACCAGGATGTAAGCCCCAGTGACAGCAACCTGGTCTGAGACCAGGCTTTCGGGAGGACCGTCTCCCCTTGCTGTGTGACCCTGGACACACCACTCAACTGAGCTTCAGCCCCCGCATTTGCTCTCAGGCGAAAGTGGATCAGGCCCCACGCAGAGGGTCACCCGGCTCTGATTCGAGGAGAAGAGGCCCAGGGTGCGCATGCCCAAGAGAGGGAGGCGCCTGCACCCGTGGTGGAGGAGGGCCACAGAGAGGCACCGTGGCCAGGACAGTGCGCTCATGGGCTGCCCCGTGCCCCAGATCTCTCTTCCCAGAGAGATCTTTGTGTTTAATTCCTCTTCCACAAAGTCTAAGTGGCCACCTTCCTCCTTCCTACCGCTGCTTCCAGACTGCTTTCAGCATTCAGGCCCTCTGCCCTCAGCGTTCCCTTGTTCCCAGCTCTTCCTCTCCACCCCATTCATTTCCCACCCTCTCCCAGCCCTCTTGCTGTAGAATAATGCTCGAAAAGAAAAAGTCCTTTGTAAACTCAGCATTTTACAGTTCCAAGTTCTTAGTCCGTAAGTGCTTCCTTTTCAGAGGTGTAGCCTCCTCTACCCCTCTGCAAGCTCCCTAAGGGCAGACACGTGTCTTACATATTACCTATCTCTGTTGGCTTCCAACAAGCCAAGCCATGATGAGTCCTATTCCCAGGCCTTTGCCTTTGCTGTTCCTTCTCACCCTCTCCAAATCCTAACCTTCTCCCGAGGCACACTCTAAAGCTGTCTGTTGAATGAATGAATCAACCGACTTATCAAGGTGAGAATGATGGCCCAGCTTCATGGACATAGATTCCATGTGTTTCATGAAGAATTCCCTAAGACTGACCCATCCCAGTCTCCTCTCAGGCTGCAGGTGAGTATGCAAATATCTCTGAGAAATTAACCTTCTCTACCACATTCAGTCAATACCACGTGACCTGGCACTTTGTATAGTGAGAAGCAGCCTAGAGTCACAGAAGATGCTTGCACCAGGAATCAGCAGAGTTTGACTGCACACCAGCCCTGTCCCCTCAATTAATAAAGCTGAACCAAAGTTTCTCCTCTGTATTAACCATAGCTGACCTGTTTACCTGAATGTGTTCTAAGGATCAAATAAAATAACCCTGCTAATGGTCACACACATGAAATTATTACTTCAACTTTTCCAATGAGCTTTATACCACCTGGTCTTTCCCTTCTAGGTCATCTCATCAAGGGCAAAAAGATAAGCCTCAGCTGTACCCTCCCTGGACCTCCCACCTCCAGTGCCCTGCAGAAGAGGGTGCATAGGAATGCCTGTGATGGGGGAATGTCAAGCCCCAGAAGGATCCCTTTCTCAGCTCTGTGACCTCACCTGCACTCTTCGCCCTCCAGCAGCTTGCGGTAGGTGGCGATCTCCACGTCCAGGGCCAGCTTGACATTCATGAGCTCCTGGTACTCCCGAAGCTGCTGGGCCATGTCCTGCCTGGCTCGCTGCAGGGCGGCCTCCAGCTCCTCCTGCTTGGCACGTGCATCCTTGAGGGCCAGCTCCCCACGGTCTTTAGCTTCGGCAATGGCGGCCTCCAACTTGGCATGCTGTGGGCAGCAGAGCTGTGAGGTGGGGGCAGGGCTCACCAGTCACTGCCTTCCTACCTCCCCATCCTGCAGTGAGCACCTGGGCACCAGCCTACTTCCCCAGGCACCAGGGGACCCCAAGGGTCAAAAACATGGGTCCTGATACCCAAAGCCTAGGTTCCAATTCTGTCTCTGCCACTTATGAGCTATGTGATCTTGGATGAATCAACCCTTCTAAGCCAGGCTCCTCTTTTCTAAAATAGCAATAATCATAGTGTCTACCTCTTAAGCACACTGGGAGAATTCAATGAGGTAATACACAAGTCCTGGAAGAGTGTCCAGCATAGAGTAAGCGCTTAATAAATGCTACTAGGATTACTATTATTAATAAATGCTACTAGGATTACTATTATTAATAAATGCCATTATGATTTGCAAATGCCCAACTCCCCAGCCCTCAACTGAAGGACCTCCAAAGCCATGGGATCCCAGTTAAGTTCCCAAATTTCAGCTGATAAGAACCAAAAGCACCTTCAAAACAGAAACCAGTTTGGAACAGGCCCAGAACAGGAGGACTTGGAGCAGAGACACTGCTTAGAACCCCCAAACCCAAAATGCATGATCAACAGCCCCCAGGTTTGGGACAGGTGGTTAGATTCAAAACGGACCAGAACAGTAACTGCCACTTCCTGCTCAGCCTCAGCGTTCCCTCTGCTTGGGTTCACCCCCAACATCAGGAGTCTCAGTACCGGGCCTCATCTTGTCAGCTTCTCCTTCCTTCTTACCCACCATTCCTGCCCGCGGATCCCCCCACCTCAGCTCACGCACTCTGCCTCTCTGCCCAGCCCCAGTCCTCCCCTGGAGGCCCTCTGATGCTCCCTGCCCCTCATCCACCTGTCAGTGTCCTTACCTGGCACACTGGTGCCCCCTTGGTGAGGCCTAGCCCACTGCCTCTGGGCCCCTTGATAGTGACAGACACCCAACTCTGGGGCCTGGTTCTGCCATGGTTTGAAAGAGACCCGGATGTGGCAGAAGCTACAGGGTTTGGGCAACCGCCATTCATTAAGCTGTGCCTCCCCGCTGGCCTGGAAGCTGGCTTGCTTCACCGGTGATTCATGGCCCTGCATCTGTGCCAGAGGCAGCCTCTGCCCGCATGTCAACAGGTCTGCAGGGCTCGGAGGGGCAAACCACCCCCCAGCCCATCCTCCCAGTTCATCTAGAAGTTAGCTCTCTGAAGCTGTGCACTGGTCACCTTCCCTCTCCCCACTGCAGACACCTGCTGGGGCGTAGCTGCCCCTCCCACCTCTGTGGCTCTGCCGGCTTAGGCGACCCTTCCCTCACCAACACTCCCCACGCCAGCTGCACAGCGAGTCCCCCATCAGGCTGTTGTCTGAGGCCTGTGCCCTAACCATGTGCCAGGGGCTGGGGAGGAAGGAGCAGTGAACCAGACGAATGCCCCCCCCCCTCTAAGGCAGCATTCCTTACATTCCAGTGGAGGTGGGGGACAGTCAATATTTAATTAATGAGACAGAACTTCTCAGGTAGTGATAGGAACTTCAGGGCACTTCAGACAGACTGCTGACAGATTAGCTGGGTGGCTGAAAAAGCCATCCCTGAGATCTTCTGTCCTAGTCCCCAGGGACAGGAAAGGCAGCCATGTGCGAGCTGGGAGAACCACATTCCAGGTCCAGGGAACACCAAGTGCAAGGCCCTGACGCGTGAAAATGACTGGCAAATGCAAGGTGCGGGCAGTGGGCCAGAGAGGCCCGGGCATAGGGCCATAGCGAGGGAGGGGGTGAAGGAAAGTGAGGCCAGAATTCAGATAAGGCCTCGTGAGCCACAATAAGGGTTTCTGCTGGCCACTGCCTGGCCCCTGCTCACAACTGTGAGCCCCAGGTACAGCATGCTGCACTCAGAGCTGGGTGCAAGGAGAGTGCTCAGTACCAATTTGGTAACGAAGGGTGGTTCTTCCCCGGCCAGCCAGCCTGAGGCTTCTTCCACAGGCTCTCTACCCAGCTAGACACCCCTCCTCCCTTTGGCCCAAGCCAAACCCTGGCCGAGAACACTCCATCTCCATCCTGGAGCTCTCACAAGTGGGCCCGAGCTGCAGCGGCCTCCCCCAGGTGGGGCAGTGGGTGGAACAGGGGCAGGCCTGACCCCCACCCCCTCCTCATTGTCAGCTGGCTGCCCTGCACATGTCCTACAAACAGGGAGGAGCAAGGAGGAGTGTTTGTGCCCACCTGGTTCTTGATGTTGTCGATCTCAGCCTGCAGCCTCTGGATGGCCTGGTTCGTCTTCAGAATCTCAGTCTGGGTATTCCTGAGGTCCTCCCCATGCTTCCCGGCCTGGGCCCGGAGGGTGTCAAACTGGACCGGCCACACAGAGAAGTATGGTAGGGGGTGAATGATGGCTACAGGGGCTTGTCCCTCTCCCCACCCACAAAGGCCCACAGTTCTGAGTGGCAAGCCCTCTCAGCTTATCTTCCCAGAGAGGGACAGTCTGACTCCCAGCAACCCTCATCCAACACTAAGAGGCCAGACATAGGGCAGCAGGGTGGCTCAGGGGCTCAGTTTCCTCCCAGTCAGGACAGAGAGAACAAGGATGGCTCCTGGGGCCCATTGGTCTCGGGGCTCTTTCCGTTCCCACCACATCACAGTGCTAGAGAATCACTGGAAGTCTGAGACCTATCAAGCACCCCCTCCTCCACAGTACCCATTTCACAGAGGAGGAGAGTGAAGCCCAGGGAATGAAGGGCCACACAGAAAATCTGAGCCCAGGTCTCTTGTAGGCGTACCTGTGTTCTCACCTGTGCACCATGGGGGACTTGCTGTCCCTGCAGAGACAGCCCTCCATGCTGCTTTAAACCCTGCCTCAGGCTCCTTCCCCAGCACCTGCACAGTCAGCTGTGTTGCCTCCACACAGGCCTGATCTGCAGCCCTAGGGCCCTGCTTTTCCATCTACTAGCTGTGTGGAATTAGGCAAATTACAGAACCACTCTGTGCTTCAGTTTTCTCCTCTGTAAAATGGGGATGATACAGTACCTACCTAACAGGGCTGTTCTGTGGTTTAAATGAGCCGGTACAGGTAAAACATCTGAAACACTGCCTAACCTATGAGTACTTGCCACATTTTACCTATTATAATTATTAAACTACGCCCATTTCCTCTGCCCTGCTCCCCCATCAGGGCAGCACCCTGTCCTTGGCATCCTCTTTTTCCCAGGACACTAGAGAGCACCACAGATTTACACTGGTGCCTGCCAGACAGTAGGACTTGAGACAGGGTGAGGAGTAAGGGCAACTGCCACCAAGGCCCTGCAGGAGGAGGAAATGTGTCTCTACCTTGGTCTGGTACCAGGCCTTGGCCTCGGCCCGGCTGCGGTTGGCGATGTCCTCGTACTGGGCCCTGACCTCAGCGATGATGCCGTCCAGGTCCAGGGAGCGGTTGTTGTCCATGGACAGCACCACGGACGTGTCGGAGATCTGGGACTGCAGCTCTGACACCTCCTGTAGGGACCAGACAGAACATCGAGACTTGGGGCATGACCCACCCCTATTCCCATGCCCATCCTGGGAGGCCACACACCTCAGGGAAAGAAAAAGGCAGAAGAGGCCAGAGTGGGAATGAGTCACCCGGCCGAGAGGGGGCACAGCCCAGCATCTGCTAAATAGTTCTGCCCACCCTGGCTCCCTGAAGAGCCCATTAGCAACTTCTCAAATAAGGATCTGGTGGGATTACAGCAGATAAGAGAGTGACGGGTGTGGTGAGCCCTGATGGCTCCGCTATGGGGCGCTGCTCGCATGAGCACCACTCAGGAGGGTAAATATTCTGCCCTATAGTGAACCATTCTGCAGCCTTTACACCTGATGATATGGCTATACTTATAAATGGGGAAATATACTCATGATATACTGCTACATGGAAAAAGTATGGTTCCATTTTTATTAAAATATATATTACTATATCTATTTGTGTGTGTGTGTAGATAGATAGATAGATAGATAGATAGATAGATAGATAGATGTTATATATATATGCACAGAAAAAGTCTGAAAAGGTAAATACCAAGATGATAAGAGCAGATATAGGTGACCTGTTTTCAATTTTATGCTTTACTTAACTTTCTGGATTTTTTGCAATGAGTACATATTCATAACAAGAATAAAATGATTATATATACCTATGTAATACACACACAGACATATGTATACGTGGCATGTGATAGACATGAAGCCCTGCACAAAGATTAAAAACGCCCAAAGAAAGCCTCAAGGATCCAGCCCCTGAAAGAAACATGGAAATTCACTCTGAGGGGCTAATGGAGGCTGGATATTCAGGCATAGACTAGACTGAACTGAGACATGAGAACTGTACTTAGGGTCAGGGTCATGTGAAATTATGCCTCAGACCAGTCCTGCCAGACCACTGGCCACCCTACCTTCTGCCTAAGTCCAGAGCCTCAGGCCGATGGGAGTGAAGAGGACTTTGAGTCGTGTGAGGAAAAGAGCTGGAAGCCAGGGCAGGGCAAGGGTGGACGGGAGAGAACGAGACGGGAGGGCGAACAGAGAGTGGCCAGTCGGTGGGCAGTCTTCCGCCCAGTTCCCCTGGGTAGAAACGGCAGGTACTCCAGTCTTTCCTGCCTCGGCCTCCCTCGCCTGCCCCACCCAGCCCACCACTGAGCTCAGTCACAGCCTTGGATCCCCCGACATCCTCCTGGCTCCTTCAGCCCTTCCCTATCCCACTTCCAGACAACGGCCATTCCATGTCTCTAAAAGGCCAGTCCTGACGGACCCTACCACCCTGCTCTGATAAGGACAGCTCCTCCTGAACTCCCCGTCCATCAAGGATGTCTGAGTCCAGGAAGGATAAGAACAGGATAAAGACACCCAGCACAGTCAGCATACACCCGGACTAGCCAGAGGTAGGGGTGGACCAGATGGCTTCCTGGTTAGGCCATGTAGGACGTGACAGGTCTCCCACTGCTAAGGTTCTCACCGTCTCACAGAAGGTCCTGAAGAAGCTGATGTCCTCGTTCAGGGCATTCACCTTGGCCTCCAATTCCATCTTGTTCAGGTAGGCAACATCCACATCCTAGGGGTGGTGATGAGAAGTACACAGATCATGTAGCAGGCGGCGGGGGTGAGCCGGCGCTGCCCAGCCTACAGGGCCAAACACCACTGCCCTCCCAAGAAAATAGTTTCTCCAGGCTGCCTGACATGCCCACGGCAGAAAGTTTCCTCTCCTCACTTCCCCCAGGCTGCGTCATCTCCAGGAGCCCCAGGCCCAGAGGCACTTGCTCAGTTCTGGTAGCCCAGAGCAGCCTAAAGCCCCAAACCCTGCACTTGACCGGTTCCTAAAAGCTTTGGTGGTTTGGAGACACCCCTGGCTCTACCACCTACTAGCTATGTGACCTTGAACAAATCAGTTCAATTCTGTGAGCCTCAACTTCTGATCAGTCAAATAAGGAGCACAAAATCACTCAGACTCCAGAACACCACTCTCAGAGATGGAAAATCTCAAGCCTGATGTTCAACTTGCCGCGTGGGTGATTCTGGCACCGGTGGGCCACCGATAACACTTCAAGTCAAATCCAGAAGATGTCTGGATCCCTTCTGGCCACACTTCCCTGTGGTAAAACTCCTATGGGTAGTGCCCACTTTTACACATCTCTGATTCCCAAGGGGCCAGCACTCTGGGGACAGGCTGCATTTATGCGGATAGTCCTGGAAAACTCAGCTGCTCAGTGAATGTGCATTGAATCAGAATCTTACTTCAAGCCCCTGTAAGCTATTTCTAAAACCCAACTTCAGCTTGCACAGCTCCGTGGATGGGGAATTTACTCTGCCTCAAGGCAGCCCATCCCATTCATTCAACAAGTATTTCCGGCCTGCCATGTGCTACCCTTGTCTGTAATGAACTGTTCTGACTGTGATAGAACACTTCCTTACTTGGGGTTGAAATCTCCCTTTCTAACCTTCATCCTTTGATGATAATTCTAACCCCTTCAGGCCCAGAAACAAGTCTACTGACTAAGCAGATACACACACAAATAATCACACACACATATACGTGCACACACACAAGACAGGCCATGTGATAAGGCGCTGACTTCTGGATCTCTCCTTCTCCAAGTCCATCGTCTTCTTCTTGTGGTCCCCTAGGCCAAACCTTGGCCACAGGTCCCTACTGGCTGCTCAGGTGAAAGGGCCATGTGTTCCCCTGTCCCATGTGTTCAGACACCATCCCCCATCCCTCCTATCTGCCCCCTCACCTTTTTCAGCACCACAAACTCATTCTCAGCAGCTGCACGCCGGTTAATTTCCTCTTCATACCTGCAGCAGAGGAAGGCATGCTGTTGGTGCAGCTTGGCCTCCACCCCTGAGATCAGGTGTGGAGCTCTAGCTAGCCTGCATCACCCTCACCTCTCCTTAATGGCATGTCTGTGAAAAACAGGTGTCAGCTCTGAAACCCATGTCCTTGACTTTTCCATTTGGCGGTTCCTAAGGCTTTGAGTCTTGGCAAGGGATGGGGGTGGAGGAGCGGGGAACATGTGAATTAAAAGCCAAGTGCTGTATATATTGGGAAAAAGCAACAAATAAAAGCCCTGCTTACTGATCACTTCATCTGGGACCTGCCCTGTTATGTGCTTCCTATGCATTCAAATCTTTTTTTTAATCCTCACCCAAGGATATTTTTTATTTATTTATTTGAGAGAGAGAGAGAGACAGACAGACAGACAGACATTGATGTGGGAGAGAAGCATTGATGGGCTGAGACTCGAACCCACAACCTAAGTATGTACCCTGACCAGGAATCAAACACACAACCTTTCTGGTATACAGAAGGATGCTCAACCAACTGAGCCACCCGGCCAGGCAATCCTCACAACAATCTCACAGTGGCAGGATGATTCGCAAGGCAGGGAATGGAGGCACAGAGAGGCAGAGCAATCTGTCCAGTCACTAAGCTGTTAAGTGGCAAAGTCCAGACTTGAAACCTGGCAGTCTGACTCCAGGCTCATGCCTTAACCACTACCTAATCCTACCTCCTGAGGGGAAAGAGGGGGACTGAATGGGAGGAACCTTGTGGAATCAGGAAGGGGATACATAAATTCCTGAAATAACCAGGCCCCAATTAGGTGGTCTAGTCCCCATCCCCACTCCCATCTCTTTCTCCCAAGGAGCCAGCCCCACCCATAGGAGGACATCAGCAAACCAGGACACAGAGCAAGAGAGCTGGTGGGTTTAACCCAGGATTTACTGGACACTTAAATGGAAAGGTGTCAGAAACAGGAACTCAGCAGTGCCCAAGAACTGATGGGGAGCAACTGAGGTGGGGAGCAGAATGTTTGGGCAGGCAGACACCCTCCAGGAGCTCAAACTCTCAAGGTCCCGCTCCCTCAAGTCCTATAGAATAGCTATGGAAACATCCTTGAGGCTGTCATCCACCCCTGCCTCGGCGATGTGCCCTATGCCCAGAGAGTGTGCAGATGGGAGCCTCTGGGCAGCTGCACCCAAGGCCCTCCCTGTGCCTCCTCCAGCTCCACAGAAAACCTCTGCAGGCTCGGGGGCGGGGGGGGGGTAGTGTGTGAGTCCACAAATGCAAAAGCGCAGAACAAAAGGGGCTCTCTGGTTACCCCAGGCCTTCTCTGCCCTGCACCTGCCGAATTCCACCTGCTGTGGGATCTATCCCGTTGACTGTTGCCCTAGGGAAGTAGAGGGTGGGTACTCTCCACAGAGGCCTTTGTTCTATCTCCAGTCAGTGCAGGTGTCCCTGCTCTGACTTAGTCACGTACCTCCTGGCAGAGCACAGAACTCACTCACTGCCCCCAATGCCTACTGTGCAGGCATGCCAGGGTAAGGCCCAGTCCAAGCCTTAAGCTTTGGTTTCTAGTCAATGAGAAAACTCAGTGGGCATCAAAGACCTGTCCTCAAAACCCCAGCCTTCCTGGCCCCTGCACTCCCTGCCCTGATCACGCTGGACCCCAGCCTCTGCCACCCCCCGCTCCTGGCTTACAATGATCACTCTCTCTGCTGGCTTCTTTCCAGCCCAAGTTGGCTCCACGTCTTCTCCTAGGAGTCAGAGGCCCAGCATTCAAGTCCCAGCTCTCCCAATGACTTGCTACATGATCTTGAAAAGGGCAGGTCAGGGCTGGGCAGAGATATTTTACTGGGAGTAATTCAGAATAAAAGAGCAGAATGACTTGGAAACAGCCCCCAGGGACAAAGATGGACTAGGATAGGCATGGAATGTGTTAGTCAAGACCCTTCAGGGGTTACTGTACTGAGCAGCTTCCCCCTCTGACCCCCTAAACCAGAGGGTCAGCTGATTGGTTGCACATCCACCCAAAGCACGAATCCAACCCCCTTCCCCCAAAGTTCACACTGGGAGGCAGTACTTATTCTTGAAGTCTTCCACCATGTCCTGTGTGCCCTGGAGCTCCATCTCCAGCTGGGTCCCATCCATCTGCAGGGCCTCAAGCTGTTTCTGCAGGCCAGCAATATAGGCTTCAAAGATGCCCGGGAGGCAGCTGCTCTTGACCAACTTCTGCTCCTGCAGTAGAGCCCACTTGGTCTCCAACATCTGGTTCTGCTGCTCCAGAAACTGCACCTAGAAAGAAATGGAGGAGGAAACTGATAGGAGCAGACCACGCTGCCCACGTGGGACTGGGAGGGTCCCCAGCCACCCAGCAGGACCCATGCTCTCACTGGCTATTCCCACAGCCTGGGGCCCCAGCTCTTGGCCCGCTCAAGGAAAATAACCCTAAACAAGCCTCTTCCCCAGGACTCTCTGTCTCAAGTGTCTTAGAGTGTGACCCAGGGATCAGATGTACCAGGCTCACCGGTGTGTCTGAGCACTGTGCTTTAATGTCTCCTCCCTCCAAACTCCCCATCTCATTACAGGTGATCTCCAGCTCCCCCTCTGAAGGGGCTCCCCTTCCTATCTCAGCCTCCTCCCTTCAGGCTGAGACCTGTCTGTCCTCCCTCAGTATCCTCTCTCCCCTTCCCCTTTCCTCTAACAAGGCCTCAGGACAGGGACCTACAATCTGGTCAATGTAAAATGAGCACCTATTATGTGCTCAGTCCTGGGCCCAAAAGGCTCCTAAGGAGCACCCAGTATGACTGGGGGTGGGAAGCAAGCCTTCTCAGAACAGCAACTCAGGGCAGCAGCACCTGGGGGTTGTAGACAGTGAGACAGAGCAGCTCAACAGCAGGGAAGGAACCTAGGCCTGGAAGGCTTCTGCAGAACCTGAAGGACATGTCTTGTCTGAATGGTAAAGAAGAAGAGGACATTGGAGGCCAGAAAAGTGGAGAGGTAGGTACACAAAGACAAGAGAGGCCTGGTCTGCATCTGAGGGAAGAGGTCCTGGCCAGTGGGCCCAGCTGGGCGAGCTCTTAGTTCCTGGGTCCAGCCCCACTTTGCCCTCATCTAAACCCCCCAGTCTAGGCTGCCCCCTCCCTCCCAACCCCCACTCTCACTCCCCACTCCACCCCCACACCACTGGAACCCAAACAGCCAGGAAAAACACTTCCCAAATGTCCCTTCCTCCTCCCTGCCCCAAAATGGGCTATCTCCGAAGGCAGATACAACCCACTCATTTTCTGCCACCGAAGGGAAGCTAGAGGAACTGGCAGGATGGGCAGGTGTGGCGGGGAGCCTCCCTACCTCCCTCCAGCTCTTTATTTTCAGCATCTGCCTTAAGGCAGACAGTGAGGATGAGGGGAGCCTCCTCTGCTGGGAAGGGCGGTTCACCCCTACCCCACTTCTAACTCCACACAGCCCCCTGGCAATGCAAAGGGCCCAGAGAGAGAAACTCCTGGCCCTGGCCTCTGGAGCTCCCGAAATTGGTGGAAAGAGAAACTAATTCTCCCAGCGCCCAGCCTACGTGCAGTCTGGGCTCAGTGGCCACTGTGGCCTGGAGCCTGACCTGCCTCGGGCAGGTTACAGCCAACCCACCTTGTTGATGAAGGAGGCGAACTTGTTGTTCAGGGTCTTGATCTGCTCACGCTCCTCCTGGCGCACCTGCTGGATGTTGGAGGTGTCAGTGTCCACCCGCAGCGGGGCCAGCAGTCTTTGATTGATGGTGACCCGCTGGATGCCGGCACCCACCGGACCCCCGTGGGCAGAGTGCACGGCCACGTGCGACCGCGGGGCGCCCAGGCCGTAGAGGCTGCCGCCGCGGGAGCCGCCTGCGCGCACCGAGCTCAGGTGCACCTGGGCGCCGCGCCCCGGGAAGGTGGCGGAGCGCGAGCTGAAGACCTGGGAGCTGAAGTGGGTGGACATGCTGGCTGCACCGGATTGAACTCAGCAGCGGGCGGAGGGAGCCGAACTCGCTGACCTTCCGGAAACCTGGCCGCTTTTATCCGCTAGGCGCCGGCCACGGGCTCACACAGGTAGGGGCGGGGCTGGCCGCCTGCCACCTTCCTCTGCGCCCCCGGGCCCCTCCCAGGCCCGCTCCCGCCCTCCGCGCCGCCCACCGGCCGAGCCAGACTTTCAGTCCGAGCCGGGAAACAGCGGTCCGAGCCCGGCTGGGTCAGGAAGGGCTTCCTGGAGGGGGCTTGGGGAATGGGTGAAAAAGATCCAGATTCCTAAGGCCAGAGCAGAGAGTTCAAATGGTAAAAGATCGGTGAAGAGATGAACAAAAAAGCTCCAGTCCAGGAGTCAGCCCCCACCCACTGCACCCCCAGACTACTGGAAGCCAGAAAAGCATTCCCTAACAGCCTCCCTCCAAGTGCAGCTCCTCCTTGAGAGATCAGCCCAGTTCTGGAGTTACCTGACCCCAGGGTAGGCCTGGCCTAGCTGGTTTCCCTGGCCACATGCCCTACACCTCATATCTATAGAGAAATTAGGCCAAGCGGGGCATGACCCCACTTCTCACCCCTCTCCTCCTCACTCCAGTGGGCATGTGGAAATGATTACCCTGGGCCTGGGTTCCCCCACCTCTGCACCCCTAAATCACATTCCTGTCCACTTATTTGTCCCTGTAGAGAAGGGGACATGTGTGTGTACTTGGACTCTGTGGATGTCTGCTCTGCATGCACACCCTATTCATACCCTATTCACATGCCAGGTCATGTCTCTGGACTTTCTCATACAAGCAGCAGTCTGTGTTCGGGGAGGGGTGTCTGTGGATACACAGTTGTACACTTTTGTATCCATGTCTGTGCTGTGCTGTGCTGTGCTCATGTGCACTCAGACACTCCTCCCATCCCCCTACCCCTGCCATTTTTCTGTTTAAAGGTTTCTAACAGTTTCAAACCCAGCCCAAGAGGAGGATAGACATTGGGCTAGAACAGAGACCACTGGACAGAGACAGCGAAGCAGTGGTCTCCCTTCCTAGTAGCCTGCAGCCACACATGCCACATGCGCTGCACCACCCTTTCTGCAGATCCAGCTCTGAGCAGATAGAGGGGTAGCCCTGAGGAGCCTTTAGAAAAGACAGCTGACAAGCCCATTATCACCTCTAGCCCCACCCTCTGAGCTGGCCAGGTTGTCACCTCAGACCAAGTCCTTTCCAGGTCCAGGGCTCAGCCTCCCCTTGAGCAACACTTCCCCATTCCAAGGCTGGCCTGCCCAGTGTCCGCTCTCCATGCCCTCCCTGATGCATTCCTGGTGGCTCCAGTCCTCGCCATCCTGCTGTCTGTGCATTCACAGGCCAGCACCATGAGCCCACTCAGTGCCGGGCTGCCCCCATAAATACCCTCTGGAGGGCTTCACAAGAAGCTGTTAACACAGAGAGACCAAGGATCAAATTCCTGTTCCGAAAGAGTGCACAGTCCAGTGGTTCATCTGAACTCAGGCTCCCTCCCAGGCTCCTACCTCTGCTGGCCTCACAGAGACCACCATAGGAGATTCCTGGCAGAGTCTAGAGCCAAGTTAATCCCACAATGCCTCTGGCCTGCCCCAAAGACTCACTCCCATCCCTGTAATGTTCTGTCACAAATACTCACTCCCCACCTGGCTTTCCCAGAACCCTCTGGACCCAGCTATGAACAAACAAGCAACACCCAGGCCTCAGCCCTGTTTGGCTTCACCAAACCTTCCTGGACACCAGGTCCCACAGTCCTCACAGATGGGACTGGCTGTTGTTTTCTGGAGAGGAGGGGAAGACATTCTTTCTGGCTCCCTCCTGCACTTTCAGAACCATTACTATTGTCCATCCCCTAATATACAGCCTCTGACTTCTAAAGGGAAAAAAAGGGCATGGTTTGTTTTGTTTTGTTTTGTTTTTTGTTTTGGTTTATCCTCACCTAAGGACATTTTTGCATTCATCTTCAGATAGAGCGGGAGGGAGGGAGAGAGAAACATTGATATGAGAGAGGCACATGGAGTGCTTGCCACCCACATGACCCCAACCGGGGCTGGGGACAAACTGCAACCAAGGTACGTGCCCTTAGAGCAGCGGTTCTCAACCTGTGGGTCATGACCCCTTTGGAGGTCAAACAACCCTTTCACAGGGGTCACCTAAGACCATCGGGAAACACATATTTCCAATGGCGATTCATAACAGTAGAAAAATTACAGTTATGAAGTAGCAATGAAAATAATTGTATGGTTGGGGGTCACCACAACATGAGGAACTGTATTAAAGGGTCACAACACTAGGAAGGTTGAGAACCACTGCTTTAGAGGGAACCAAATCCGGACTCTCTGGTCTGCGGGCTGATGCTCTAGCTGCTGAGCCAAACAGGCCAGGGCATGATTTGTTTTTATTGTCTTTGAATTCAAATGCTTGTAATTTATAACAAAAACCTGAGGAAAAGAAGAAATAAAATGGAGTCACTACAATCAAACTGCTAAATTATTAAAATCAAGTAGGTTGAGGCACGAAGAAATGATTATGTTCTTGCTTTAACTAGTGCAGAACTTCAACTTCTGACCTTTCAGTTGTGAATACACCTAAATTCTACAGAGTAGTTCAAAAGAACATCAAGAATGTTCATGTGCTGGAGGTATATATATCTCATAGATAGCCATGTGTCATGCTAAAGAAAGGATATTTCATTATCCAGACCACCTGGCATCCATTATCCAGACCGCTGAGAATCTGGGAGATTACCATCCTTAGCCAATCTGCAGGCTAACAATGCAGGACTGGATTTTTGTTTTCAAACATGCACTTTTTACTATAAAAACTCTCAAACGTTTCTTTCTCCTTTGGAACACTTTGGATATTGCCTAGTTGTGTTTACAATTTGCAGACCTTAAGACCCTTGAATAAATCTTTGTCATTAATTTCTAGCCAAAGAACCTCTGACTCTTTTGAGCTTGTTCAACAAGCTATTTGGCATTTCTGCATGGAATGTGATACTTTTTTTAAAAAGTCAAATGATGAAAGATAAGGAAGCAACATATATGACAGCCAACAAGTTACTTTCCTAAACAGATGAATCCACAAGAAAAAGACAAACAACTGCAACAGAAAAGTGGACAACAGATGTGACAAATATGAACTATGGCCAAGATATGGAAGCAACTCAAGTGCCCATCAACAGATGAGTGGATAAATATGTTGTGGTAGATATATACAATGGAATATTACTCAGCCACACACACACACAAAGAATGAATCTTACCACTGGATGCTAAGTGAAAAAAGTCAGTCAGACAGTCAGAGAAAGACAAATACCATATGTATAATTCCACTTACATGTGTAATCTAAAGAACCAAACAAACAAACAAACAAAATAGAAACAGACTCATAGATACAGAAAACAGACTGTTGCCAGAGGGGAGGAAGGTTGGGGGCTGGGTGAAAGGGGAAGGGATTAAAGTGTATGAATTGGTAGTTACAGAATAGTTACAGGGTTATAAAGTACAGCATAAGAAATATAGTCAATAATATCGTGATAACTGTGTATGGTGCCAGGTGGATACTTGAAATATCAGGGAGATCACTTTGTAAAGTATGTGATTGTCTAACCACTATGCTGTACACCTGAAACTAATACAAAAGAATACTAAATGTAAACTGTAATGGAAAAATAAGATTTAAATATTTTTAAAAAGATGATGAGCTATTGGTTACATCGTCTTACTTTACATGTGCCTACAGTGTTTTAAGCACTTTGCATCTATTCACCCGTTTGTTTTGCATGCTGACGCTGTGGCATAGTGTGTTACTATCCCCATTTTAAGACAGGAAACCAAGGACAACAAATTTAAGTAAATAGCCCAAGTTCGCAAAGCTAATATGTAGAAAAGCCAGGATTTGGACCTTAGCTTCTAGATTACTTACAGAAAAAGAAAAAGAAAGAAAGAAAAATGGCCAAGACCAAACAATGCTCAACCTCACTCAGAGAAATACAACAGGAATAGCAATAAAAATCAATTTCCACCTGTCATGTTGTCAGAGACTAAAACATTTGATAACATTGGCGGGGGTGTGGGTGACAGCTTTGTCCTTTGTTCGTGGGGTCATTGACTGGCTCATCCTCTTCAGATGGAAAGTTGGCAATAACTATCAAAATTGAAGACCTTTGTCCTTATCTAAACAAAATGAATACACTTGTCCTTAACCAAGTATTTCCACTGCCAGGGACTCATCCTATAGATGTTTTCATCAATCGTGCACACATGCGCGTCGTCTCTGCTGACATTAATTTATATTAGTGAGACACAACACAAATGCCTGTCTATGAGAAGTAATTAAATTAACTGAGCTACACACATTCAGAGGAATGTTATTCATTGAAAAGAATAAAATCCCTTATATACTGATTGAATTTTTACCTTTGTATATTGATTGCACACATCGCTATAATTTTTTAAAGTCCTACAAGGTTCATGCTATCCACTTATACCCGGTCTACCCCCCTCCTCTGTGGCTGGTCCCTGCTGACCTCACAGTTACTTTCTGACCCTCTGGCCACTCCTCCTCCCTCACCAGGGACTCTGGCGCCTGGTTCCTGAGGCCCCTCTCCCCACCGGCACCTTCATCCTCCATGGAGATGACCTGCCCAGCATCTTCGCCTGATCATTCCTTCACTCCTCAACTCCAGTGGTTTTCATTTCCACCCTTTTCTCTTTTCTCTGCCCATGGCCACACTCTAGACCCTAAACTGCTTTATCTCTGCCTTTGCTCAGCAATCTCTCCCAGCCGTCCTGGTGGCTACTGCAAAACCGCTCTGCTCTCTTCCTATCCCCACCCTACATCCTGCACCCGCATCCTCAACCAAGTATCAGAGCATTCTTCCTCACTGAGAAAATCAAGGCCAACCAGCAAAAATGCCCTTACTTTCCTTCCCCCACCCAAACTTACCTCCCCACCCACCTCTTCTCCCTCCCTCCAGGCTCTGAGGACAGGCTCCCTCCACCTGTGCCCTGGACACCAGCCTCTCTCACCTCCTCAGATGCAGCATTCCGTTCTGCTCATTGGCCACCACTTCCCAGTGTCGTCGCCCTCTCTTGCTCCCCTCCCTCTGACTGCCTTCTCATTTGTCTGCATGCACTTTCTTTGGAGCTGTGGGGATAGAAGCCCCATGTCAGCAGGCTGAGGTTTGGATGGGGTGAGGACATGGACACCTGGAATGCCAACTACAATTTCTCATGAAGTTTGACAGTAAAAGAAAGCGAGACGAGAAGTTAGCGCGAATGGAAAGCAAGCTAAAGGAAAGGGTTCTTGTAGGATAAAGAGATCTGAGCATGAGGCTTGGCAGTGGTAAAGGAGATAAACCATAAGGAGAGGTGTTAGATATGAAGGGGGGAGCTAATTAATGGAGCAGGGAGTTGGGATTGGAGGGTATTTAAGAGCCCGGGGAGGCCAGCCTTGCTGCAGAGGAGAAACACCCCTTGGTTCATGGCAAGAAGGCACTAAATATGGACGAAGGTGGGCAAGAAGTGTAGTTAGCCAGAGAAGGCTCTACAGACTCTATTAGAATGGCTATTTCTCACAGATAAAAACATTTTGTTCTGACCTAGTTCTCTACACCCTGTGCATTCCCTGGTCTCGGTCTTGCATGCATGACAGTGACTCTCCCTGACAGAGGTCAGCCGTGCCGGACTCCGTGCAGCACCAGCATGAAGGTGCAGACTCGGCCTTGACTCTGCTGCTTCCCAGCTACGCAGCCTTGTAACTGACCTCTGTGCAACTCACTTTCTTCTGCAGAATGGGAATTGGTAGTGTCTAACCCATGGGTTCTTTTAAGTATTCAAGAAGATAATGTGATAAAATGTGCTTAAAGACTCAGTAAATGAGAGTTTCTGTTGTTGACGTTATTGTTGTGGCCATGGTAACATCTGCCATGCCCATGGTGACTCCTATCTTCTTGCTGGTAAGAGCCCAAAGAGACTGAGATTTGAGATACCACCTCCCTCGACCTGTCCCTCACCTGATGACTCTGTGCTCCTAGGAGATCTACAGAATCATACTTTACCCGTGGTGGTCCTGCCACCCTCACCCCCTCCTGTTCCCCTATCCTGTGGTTCTGGGCTCTATTTCCTGCAAGCTGGCTGTCCTCACCCACCTGCTCTTTCTGGCCAACTGCATCCTGGCATTTACCATGTGCCTGCTGAACTTTCTGGGCTTGTGGAACTGGAAATGCAAAAAATGTTTTCCTTGCTTCTTGATGAGACTCACTGCAGTGTACAACAAACAGATGGCGAGCAAGAAGCGGGAGCTCTTCAACAACCTGCAGGGGTTCGTGGGTCCCTCAGGGAAGCTCTCCCTGCTAGAGGTGGGCTGAGGCACAGGGGCCAACTTCAGGTTCTAGCCGCCTGGAAGCAGGGTGACCTGTATTGACCCCAACCCCAACTTTGAGGAGTTCTTGATCAAGAGCATTGCCAAGAACCAACACTTGCAGTTCGAGCGCTTCGTGGTGGCTGCCGGGGAGAACATGCACCAGGTGGCAGATGGCTCCATGGATGTGGTGGTTCTCACTCGGGTCCTGTGTTCAGTGGAGAATCAGGAGCAGATCCTCCAGGAGGAGTGCAGAGTGCCAAGGGGTGAGTTGGGGGGTGGGGAGGAAGAAAGGTAGATGGACCCATCCTCACTGTGTGTTAAGCTGGATACTGGTGGGCTTCATGCACAGCTCCCTAAGGGTGACCTTTGGCAAGTTACCTCACTCATTTCTTTATTCACTAGTCATAAGACAAACATTTGGGGAATGTTGGCTAAGTGCAGCAACACAGTATTTCTGTGGCAAGAAGTCAGCTTCAGAGAGGTTAGATGACTTACACAAAGGCACGTGGCTCATACAAATGGCAGAAACAAAACTAAAATTCGGGTGCCTTGACTCCTAGGTTAGAAGATCTAGGCCATACCACTGCTCTGGTGGCTTCCAACCCGTGTCTTCTAAGCCCAACACAGAGTCCAATTTTCTAAAGATGAGAACAGTGCAAAATCCCTCTCCCACAGGGCATGCCAGAACATCTCTTCTCAATAAATGAGAACTTGTAAGTACACAGATAGCTACCTTTATTTATGACATAATTCTTTAGCTTTTACTTTGGGGCCTCAGGAGTTAGCCATACACCATTCTCCAGCCCTTTCCTCCAGTAACAGTAATTATTCATTGTTTGGGGGTGGGTGAGGGCGAGTATCCAGGGAAAGAAAGAGAACTGGGGAAAGCAGTTTCTCCAAAGACATTGCAGATGGCATCAACTTTGCATTTTTGAACACTGTTGACTTTTCAGTGTTTTTTACTTTATTGTCAATAATTATAAAGTCAATTAATCAATGCATCCTAATTGTTAAAAAGAACTCAAAAATTAGAGAAGAACAAAGAAGAGAAAATATGAAAGTTCTTCCTTCACTTTCCTAAATCCCACCTCCCTTACCTGACCTCATAGGTTGCTACTGTTATAGCTATTTTTCCAGGTTTTTTTCTGTTTTAAATTTATGTTTTCCTTCCCAGCATTTGGAAGTGTTTCTATCCATCTCAAGTTTACTAATAATAACGTTCATATTTCAAGTTATATTTGAGCCCATGCTTCACTATCAATGTAATAAGATTATATGGTTATATGATCTCCCTCAACTCAGCACAATCCTATAGCACTTTTTTTTTTTTAATCCTTACCTGAGGACATTTTTGAATCAATCCTCAAATAGAGCAGGAGGGAGAGAGGGAGGAAGAAAGAAAAAGAAAAACATCGATGCAAGAAAGAGACATCAAGTGGTTGTCACCCACACGACCCCAACTGGGGCCGGGGATGAACCACAACTGAGGTATGTGCCCTTAGTGGGAACCGAACCCGAAACTCTGGTCCACAGGCCAACGCTCAAACCGCTGAGCCAGACCAGCCAGGGCCTATAGCACTTTTTATTTCCCCACCCTCATCTCCTCTTTCCGCTCAACCACACCAGTCTCTCCATCCCATATCCTGGGGTGGTTGAAATAATCTGTAATTTTAGTTTCAACCTATTACTAAGAATTCTCCCCCTTGTCTTCTATTTCAAAAGTCCTTTCTAATGTAAACATAGTTTAAAAACCAGTTTATCATCATCCATTTATCTCCTACACATTTTACTAGATCCATTGCTCTCCACTGTTTCATATGCTCTTTGTCTTCTTCTATCTTGAGATGTTTTTGTTTTTCAAACTTAATTTTTATGTGTCTAAACCACCTTCTTGAATAGCTTCCTGAGAAATGATACATGGAGCCTTGCAGACCTGAAAATGTCTGTCTTCTACCCTCACATTTAATAATATTTCGGCCAAGATTCTTGGATCTGAGCTCCTTCCCCCAGAAGCTGTGGAGACCATTTCATGGTCCACATCGCAAATGACACCTTTAGCGCCAGACTGATTCTCTTCCCCTTTCAGGTGACCTGTTTTTGTTGGTGATTGTTTTATGTCTGGAAGTTTTTAGGATTTTCACTTTTTCTTTGAAGTTCTGAAATTTTACCAAAAGATGACTAGGTGTGTATCATCGTTCCTATTATTCATCTTGCTAGGCATTTGAAGAACCCTTTATGTTTTAATACTCAAGTCCTTCTTTAATTCAGAGAAGATTTCTTCTATTGTTTCGTTCTTTATCGGTTCTCTTCTGTCTTCTTCTGGAACAACTATTATTCGGAGATAAGATCTACTAGCTTTAGCATCCTTGCTCTTATCTTTAATTGATAGTCACAACTGAAACATGTAGTATACAACTGAACCATGTAGTACACTTCAGTTTTTGAACCATGCAATATACTTTTGGTTTTCCCAGAGTTAATAATGATCTGTATATCTATATATAAACATATAGATATAGATATAGATATAGATATAGATATAGATATAGATATAGATATAGATATAGATATAGATATAGATATAGATATAGATATAGATATCCCTAAATCATCCCAGACGCTTGTCTAAATCTCTCAATATAGTCAAACATGTCAAATACTCTATCAGTTTCATCACGTGGAGCCATTTCACCAGCTCTGCCCCAGGTTCCTGTCTGAACTGGGTGCTCTCTAGTCCCACTGCTCGCTTTCATCTTGGGATCTCCCTTCACCATCTTCCAAGGACCTCCCTCTTTTCTCTTTTGCACTGGACTCCCTGTTTTCTGCATGCTATCTCTTCCTCTTTCTCAGTTTACCCCTAGTTTTGGTAGAGCATATCCTGCGGTAGCTTTCTGAGAAATGTGATACAAATGTATTGAGAAAATGCATGTGTGAATATTCTTTATTCTCAAAACAATTCATAGTTTACACAGCTGTAGAATTCTGAGTTGGAAAATGTTTTCCCTCAAAATGTTGAAGGTATCCATTGTCTTCTAGCTGCCAAGATTACTGCTGAGAAGCCTGGGCCCATTCTGACTTTAGATTATTTATATGAAACCTTTTTCTCCTCTCTGTAAGTTTATATAACCTTTTCTGTCCCCAGTGAAATAAATTAATGATATCTGTTGGGGATTTAGTGGGCATTTTTCATCGCAAACTCATGTTCTTACAGAAATTTTTCTGGGATTATTTCTTTGAAATATCTTCTTTTTCTCTTTGAAAATATTAATAAAAGGGAGATATTTTAAAAATATATTTTCATCTCTCTACTTCATCTCTGCTTCCTCCAGATTTATTTTTTCTGTTTGTTATGTGAGCTCCACTTTTCATTTTGGAGGCTCTTCTCAGATGTCTACTGGTCCATGGCTAACTACTCCCATTTCCAGAGGTAGCACTGAGAACTGGTTGGGAGCTCATGAGCATGGGTGAGGCATGACAACACTGGACACGCTATAGCGTAAGACCACTGAGCTGTTCACATGGAGAAATCTCATTGTCAGTCTTTCCTTTGTAGCCGGTCAGAAAAATCTTCCAAATCTTTCTCTGGAATCTATAAGCCTGGCTTCTAGCATTCCGGAAACAAATGAGAGAAGAGGGCTGGAGTCTCAGCATTTAGATTTAAACTTTCTCTTATTCCCCATATTTTCAGTAAGGTAAATGTCCTGCTGTGCCTTGTTATAAGACCCTGCATTTAACTATTTCCAGAGAATAAACCTGGAGTCTTCTGCTGAGGAGGGGAGGGACAGTGTCTGGCTGTTCTGAATAGGGGTGGGGATGCCAAGGTTCAATCCTGATTAAATAGACTGCAACCAATCTGCCGTGGGCTTTTTTTTAAATCAACTTTATTGAGATACAATTTGCGTACTATCAAATGCAGCTGTTTTAAGTATACAGTTGTATCTGTTTTTGATAAATGTATGCACTCCTGTAGCCACCACCAAAACAAAGATATAGAACATACCCATTACCCCCAAAAGAGTCCCTTATGTCTCTTTATAATCTATTCCTACAATCCTAGGTCCCAAGCAAACACTCATCTATTTTCTGTCACTATAGATTTGTTTTTTCTAGAATTTCATGTAAACAAAAGTGTACAGTAAGTACTCATCAGTGTCTGCCTTATGTTAGTCAACATAATATTTTATATGCATCCATGTTGTTTAATTTCTTTTTATAGCTCAGTAGCATTCCATTATATGGATATAGCACAGTTTTTGCCTTTTATGGACATTTGAGTTGTTTTCAGTTTTTTACTATTACGAATAATGAATATAGCTGATATGAACACTCTTGGACATGTATTTTTATGGATATATAATTTTTGTTTCTCAAATAAATACCTAGAAGTAGAATTGCTGGCTCATAAGAAACTGCAAAGTGGTCTTGCAAAGTAGTTAAGCACCTGTACTTTTCTACCAGCAATATATGAACATACTAGCTGCTCCACATACTCACTGACACTTGATATTATCAGTCATTCTAATGAGCATTTGGTGGATCTTATAGTGGTTTTAATTTCCCAATAATTAATAACATTAAACAAAACTTTATGTGCTTGTAAGACATATGAATATATGTCTTATTCTGTGATATGTACGTCAAATATTTTACCCATTTTTAAAGTGAGCTATTTGTCTTCTTATTGAGTTATAAATGTTCTTTATATAGTATATCCTGCATTCAATTTTATTGTCTAATATATGACTATTTTCTCCTAGTATGGCTTGCCTTTACATTTTCTTGATGGTATCTTTTGAAAAGCAAAATATTTTACTTTGATGATATCCAAATTATCTAATCTTTTTCTTTTATGCTTCATGATTTTTATGTCTTATCAAATTAATCTCCCTCTACCCTAATATTGTAAAGATTTTTCTCTTAGCTTTTCTTTTAGAAGTTATATAGTGTTCAGTTTTATGTTAAGGTCTATGATCCATTTCCAGTTAATTTTTGTGAAATGTATTAAGTCTTTTTTTTTTTTTTTTAATGGATATCTTGTTCTTCCAGGACCATTTGTTGAAAAGACTATTCTTTTCTCCATGGAGTTGCCTTTTTATGGTCAGATATCAACTGACCATAGATTATGGATCTATCTCTAGATTCTATGGTTCCATTGATCTATATCTCTATCCTTTGTCAATATTATACACTCTAGATGACTGTAGCTTTATATTAAGTCTTGGAATTAGGTAGCATAGTCCTCCAATATTAAGCTCTGTTAAGGTAAGTCTAGAGTAGTCTTTACTCTGGATTAAT